CTGCGTCATTTGTTTAGAGGTATTTCATATTGTTTTAATAGGGAAACTGTGTGCCTGCTCTTCAAGCTTTATACACTGTAAAAAAAAATCTCATAAAAAACCGGTAAAATGACTGGCAGCAGCGGCTGCCAAACAAAAACTGTAAAATTACAGTAAAATGTTTTATTTCAAATGAAGTGCAAAAACATTAAATTTACAAAAAATGTCCGTTATTCTTTTACATAAAAACACTGTTATTTTACAGTTTTTCTTAATATTATTGTGATCAAATACCTTACTTAAAAGGGCAATTCCAAAAGTTCAGCAGATAAATACTGTTATTTTACAGCTTTTCTTAATATTATTTATGATCAAATACCTTGATTAAAAGGGCAGTTCTATAAGTTATATATATATGTTAATATATATATATGATATAACATATATGATTGTTAATACACAAATATTATGCATTTTGTATATGTGGTTTTTGCAACATACAGTATAAGTCCCTTACGGTATTCTGTTGGAACATACAAGAATCACAGATGTTTTTAACAAAACTTTTCCATATGGGCGGGGACAGAACGGAGACAAAGGCGCAGACGTCAGGGTATCGGGGAATACAGGGTTTAATTACAGGTATGACAGGCAAAATGCAGATGGACAATACAATGACCGGACTGGGGAAACAAACTGAAACGCGGACTAAATACAGAGGACTAATGACAACAACCAGAAACCCAGCAGCGGTTACAGCTGATCACACTGGGATTCCACACGGGGTTAACGAGGGGGCGTGGCACATGGAAGGAGCAGATGATTGGGGCAGGACACATTGTTTGGATACATTTATTTTCATACTTTACAAATTACTGTTTTGATAAATGTGCTTAGATGTGTTTAGTACAGTATATGCTCTTCTTGTTTTATCCGGTTCATTTTGTGTTTACATGCTAAAGAAACACATTTAGATGTAATTTTTTTTGGGGCCGGGAACCAATTAATTGGTTTTCCATTATTTCTTATGGGGAAAATTCGATCAGAACTCGAATTTTTTAGGATTCGATCCGGAGTTCTGAACGGATTAAGTTCGAGTTCTGAGATACCACTGTATATGCATAATGTCACGCACCAATCATGCCGATCCTTCTGTGCCACGCCCCCCTCGTTAACCTCATGTGGATTCCCAGTGTTTTACGGCTGTTTCTGATTGCTGTCATTAGTCCAGTGTATTTAGTCCACGTTTCCGTTCGTTTCCCCAGTCCGGTCATTAACGTCACGTGTCTTGATGTGTGTTACCCCGGAAAATAAATCCCTTTTGTGCATATTCATGGCTTCCTTCGCCTGCTTCCGCGTTTAGCGCATGACACATAATATGTGTCGAACTGAATAAAATGTGCTTAGGTTTAGGGCTTGATTGATAATGTCAATAACAGCGCATAAAACATAACATAAAATATTAATGTATTTCTGAACAATGTATGGACGCCAGATTTTTTTTTCAATTAAATAAATGTTAAAACTAAGATTATTTATAATATATTATAATTCAATATAATGAAAGTTCACCTGTCATAGTTTTGGAAATTCAAGTTCTACATTGTACTGATTCTTCCAAATAGACTTACACTGAAAACTTGCACTTTAATTTCTAATGAAAGGATGGGTAATAAATCATAAGGTCAAAATAATCTGCATTTTGGGTAAATTCCCAAGGTGAAGCAACATCATTCATTATCACCTTTTAAGCTGGGACAGATCCATAAGCCACAGTAAAAATAGATTACATTTTGAAGATCCATTGGACAGATGTACTGCTACAGTCCCTGAAAACAGCAAATGATCCCACTAAATTAATGAAGGAGTGTACAGTAACACACATTATGACCCATGTTTGTGTACTTATGTGACATGATAGCCTATAAAGTGTAGATTCAGGTGAGACAGCTACTTTATCACTCTGAGAAAAACTGTAAGGAGTGATGCTGGAGAAAAACTGCATTATGAATAAATGTTCCTGGATAGCATAAGGATGCTGGATTCTAAAATTATAAGGGCTTACCAGACCACACAGGTGTCAATTATCTAACATGGACTCAACTTTGAAGTTATGAATTAATATTTATCTATAATTTTATACTTAAAATTTGGATTGGGGGTGCTTTTAAATCATTCCAAGATGAAAGTGAGCAGTAAGGATTTCGCCAAACTGTGGCTTGACATAAGATTTATAGTGATATGCATCACCATGTAGATGTTTGAGTTGTAGGTACACTGTAAAAAATTGCTTGTGAAATTTACAGTAAATTATTGGCAAAAAAGTTGCCAATAAAGAACTGTAAATTCACAGTAATATACCATGAATGATATCACAGTACATTACTGTGTCAGAAAAACAGTTATTTACTGTTTAAAAAATTACAGAGTTTTACTTTTTTAATTTATTGTACTTTACTGTAATTCTCATTTACAGTAATCCACTGTAATGTCATGTTTTACAGTTAAATACCGAAATCTGTATTTACATTAACTTACTATAATTTTATTAATTACAGTAATTACATGGC